GTGAAGTTTCCACGTGTACTTACGCGAGATGCAGAGAGGCTGGAAAGTTCAATTTACTTTCACGAGTACAACGGTGGACGACAAGCAACGCAGCAAAATTGCAGCCCTTACAACTTCTCGGTCAACTTAAATCTGGAGTTGGCGCGACGCCAGTCTGAACTTTGACATGTGCGTACGTGAGACCTAGGGGCGAATGAAAGCTGAATTTAAAATCTTTGGATTCGACCGGCCAAGAAACATCTCAGTGAAGTCTCAGCCTCATAGCCCGTGCTGTCCCCGAAAACGCTTTCCCGCCAAAAAAACTTCCACTTGCTCGCATGCGAGAACCACATGGACGTGAGCGTCCATTTCGAGGATAAGAGCTTGCATGTACGTATAGATTAAGTTACCAAAGTTTCAGCTTTGTAACTTTTGAGGATCTCGAGATGAAAACTCATTAAAAGCGCACACACAGACACACATACATACGCAGACAGTCCCTCGATAATATTTGTTCTTGCATTGCATAGATGCAAAAAACGCATGGAAAAACGGTACTACGACTTTCGCAGCTCAAACTTAAAACAAATGCACGCTGTGCGGCTACGCCAGACCGAGTTTTAGTAACTGCCAAGGAAATATCACTTCAACAAAGTTGCAGAAAGACATACAAACCTCCGCACACTGCTTAGTTGACTTTTCTGGATGACAATAGCGATTGACGAAGAGCAGGTCCAGCAGCCAGTCAACAGGTTTCACTTGATAAAACAAGGCTATAAACTGCGTCAGCAAGGTCAAATCAGAGGATCGAAAAAGCTTTCCAATAAAACCTAGAGAAGAGAATTCGAGCATCAACCAGTCTTCTGCCTCATTCTCTGCGATAAACTCTTTGACACGTTTGATAAATCCGGCTTTGGATATCACATCGTCCTCCAGTTGGAGGTAGTATTCACCTGAAACACTTCCTTCATGCCCAATACATAACAGACAAGTTCTAGCAGACGAAGCGAACATCCCGATACTCGCATGGTCGTGATATGTTTGCCAAAATTCTAGCAGTAACTTAATAAAAGAGGCAGACAGTTGCATCAGGCAATGATGAACCAGTAAAAACTGCGCACTGTAGCAGGACATAAGTGCTCTTGCTACTTCAGT